AACCCTCTGCATCCTTAGCCTTACCAATTTTGTTTTTACTAAAGAGAATTCCACGGGAATTTTTGGCACTAGGTTTTATTTTTTTAAGACACCTGATTTTAGTTTTTGTAACTGCATGTAACCTAGTAACACAGGGTTATTGAATTCTTTTTCTCATCCTTGTAACATTTCCAACTTGAATGTGTGACTATCAATTCTTTTCATTTCTGCACAAGGAAAAATAGTTACATAGAAGAATTGGAAATCACAGAAAATTTGGAAATGGATTGCTCAGAATTGCCTGCTCCCTGGACTGGTACATCTTTCTCGTCTCTCTGCATCTAGCACCTCTACTTTCTACCAAGTGGGAGGAAAGAATATGATTTAGAAGCAAAGCTACCTAGAGCTTGGTTTATTTATGAGGCCCAAAGAGAATTTCCATGGCTTAATATATAAGAAAACTAGATCACTTACGGACCTGATCTAGGCTCTACCCTAACACATGTTAAGATTTTTCAGGGACAGAAGGAGCTTATTTGAGGGAGCCATGACTTATTAGAGATCCTTTTTCCTCTGTCCCTCCTAGCCCTCCCAAGAAAAATTCATTCTGGTGAAATCTCTTCGCTGAACAAACTACATCATTTGACGAAACAAAATCCCTCTCCATTCTTCCATCCATTCTGTTTAAGATCAGCTTCAATTTTCCAGAGTAACATACACTCCAAACTTTCTTTTTTGATAGAATCAACATGTTTTTTCACTTTTGTTTATTTTCCCCCAAAGCCTTTGGCATTTCCCTCCAGTGAGTCACACTATGGTACCATCTCAAAATGACCTCCTTAAAGGATGTTTTTCTTCCCAGGGGAGATGGGAAATGGTAAATGACAGCCTGGCCCAATATGTTACTGAACAGCATGTGGGGATTTTAATAAAGAAATGCCATTTCACATGCCGCTAACGCCATTTGATGGATAGACTTAAAGGGAGAGAGCCTGCTAGATCTTTCTCTGACTCTACAGAGATAAGATGGGAAAACTAAAGTCTAGTTGTTAGGGGCTTATTCAAATTATGGACCTCAGTCCTTTTACCCTCTCCATTTTCATTTGACAACTCAGATTTTGCAACAAAATAAACTGTCAGAGATGGAAGGATTAAAAATAAGAGAGAAGACAGACACCATTTTTCCTAACACACTTATGCTTCAGGCCATGGTTAGTGCCTCTCTGACTCTGGAAGTCTCTACTATCCTTCCCAGTCCTGGTGTGGAAAAGTCCTTCCTGGGAATAATTAGGCACTCCCTTTTCTCTGTTCTCAAGTGTGGTACTTTCTGGTATAAAAACACTTGCATCCTGGGATTCTAGTGTTAGTACAGTGGTCACCCACCTTCTGTTCACATGCCTCCTCCCCCCACTTA